TGATCCCAGCCCCTCCAGTGAACCCCTCGGGCCTCAGCTTCTCACCTGAAGTGGGGTAACAAAACCCACTTGACCAGGACACTACAGGCCTGGAAAGAGCGGATGTGTGGCAGGCCCTTTAAATATCCATCTTCGCAAAGCTTCAAGTCTGCCCCAAAGCTAATCATTCCAATCGCAGGTCACAGATGAGGTTTGGAGAGGCCAGGATTTTCCAAGGTCCTGCTTAGGCAATCCTGCTCCCCACGCCAAGTACCGGGCTCCCCCAGGCTCCCAAGCTCCTGCACTGCCCCTGTGCATGAGGAAATGCCCAAGATGCAAGGCAGGATCTTACCAGCCAACATCTCCTGAAGACCTCAGCCCTCGGCCAACGTCTCCTGAAGACCTCCTTGCCACTGCCTCCTTCCTAGACCTAAGACAGATGGACTAGCCAAAGGTCAGCCACAAGCCGATTAAAAGATAAGGAAGATTCCAAGACTGCTAGTGATAAAGGACAAAGGAGTATGTGATCTACTTCCGCCGACAACGCTCCCTGAGTTAGTGACCCGGCTGTGCCAGGTGCTTGGAGAGGACAGGCTGGATGAGGCCACCCAATTCCTGTCAGGACACTTGCTCCCAGAACCTCAAGCCACATCTCCCCATGGCAGCCACAGGGAGCTCTTCTTCATTTGAAATCCCGTTCTGTGACCCGAGGTCTTTGGTGAGTGCCCCCCGCCTGCCACCCTGGGGCCTGCTCACAGAGTGTGATGGCACTCTCATTCACACACTGGGGACCCCCAAGAGCTCCCCATCATTTCTAAAGCCCACTCGGGCCTTAAGCTCCCGACATTTGTGCCTGCTGTTCCTTCTACCTGCAATGTTCCCTCCCAGCATCTTTATCAGAACCAACTCATCAGTCACCTCCCCCTGGAAGTCCTCCATATCCCACTCGCAGAGGCAGCTACTACCTACTGGATTTTCTTCTTGTGGTGTCTCAGGCCTCCTAAGGAGTACGTGTCACTGGACTGAGAGTGTCTCTGGAGGGACACACAGGCTGGTACCGGGCAGGGACTTGGCATTTGCGGAATGAATCACTGAATGCCAGAGTTGGCCAGAGGCTCCATCTCCACCCCAGACCCCTTTGCCCCACTCCACACCTCCAGGATTTTGATGCAGGATGGCTAGGGAATGGTGATCTGGACCGGAGCGGGGACGGGGGGGTGGTCTCATCTCAAAGCTGCTGTTTCCAAACCAAGTTCAGCTTTTATTGTCAGTGTTCACTGGGGTGATTGAGGGAGTGGATGAAAACGAGACCCCGTCGAGTCCCCCTTGGTGCCATGGCAATGTAGATGGGGGACCACAAGGGTACACTGAATGTGGACCCCACAGACCTCCAGATTGTGCCTTATTCTGTTGTTTGGGGGGGTGATACCCACCCTACTCACAGAATCCTGGGATGTTCAGGAAATCAGCCCCAGAAACACCAACATTTCAAACACTTTAGCATTCTGTTTTGCTCCAAATGAACATGAGAACACGAACCACCCTATTCTCCACCAGCGCCAATATTCCTTCCCCGCATGGCAGTAGGACCCACTAAAAGTAAAACCGCAAAGGCCACAGAGGAGGGGGTCCTTTATATAAAATCAGCTAGCTCCCCGCCAGAGCTCCGGGGCCCCCACCTGGCCCCAGAACAAAGAAAGGTGTCCCCTGACAGGCCGCAGTCTTGGGGCACCTATGACCTGGCTCAGCCTCCTCAATGAGCTGGGGAGACTGAGGCACAGGGGTGGTCGCAGCTGGTCTGTGGGGCAGCCTTCTCCTGGCCGCCAGCCGGACCAGCCTTGTCTCCCTACAACTGGGGCAGAGGCAGCGCCTCAGAGCTTGCCCTGAACGCTGCCCTACCTCGGCCATCCCCTGCCTCACCCCAGACATGGAAGGTTCTAGTCTGGCTCCTAGTCAGCTGGGCCAGCCAGCTGCCAGCTTCCTCCCCACTTAGCCAAAGCGTTCAAGGCCTGCTGTGCCTAATCACCCTCCTGGGCCTGGGGGCCAGTGGGTGGGGAAGGGGGCAGTTGAGGAGGCCAAAGAGGAGACACTGGGGGACCCGCTTCCGCCCCAGGTTCCAGGGTAGATCCGGGTAGGGGGGGGTCCCTCTTTCAGAAACAAGATCAGTCTTATACAAACGGCACAAAATCCCCAGCCCACGAGCACACATGGGGCTAGGGCCGTACCCCGGCTGCAAGGGAGGGACCCAGACGTGGTCCTGGATGGAGGGACCAGGTGTCCAGGTTTGTGTGGGACTCACAGGGCTCCCAGGACACAGCACTTCCGGGGCTAAAGCTGGGAAAGTGCCAGCAAACAGGGTTGAACCGGTCACCCTAGCCCCGAGCTCAGACTTCCTTAGCTTCAAGGTGAAGTCCATGGCCTCCCTGACCTCTTGCGGTGCCGATGGAACACCAGGGCCAAGGTCAGGTCTCCAGCTACATCCCTCGCACACTCACGAATGTGTTAGAACACGTCGGCACACCACACATTTTCCGAAAAAGACTGGAAGGCAGGCACTGGGCCTCTCTGAGCTGTGGGATCACACGTGATTTTTTTCCTGATTGTTTTTATTGTGGTAAAATAGGACATAAAATATACCATCGTCACCATTTTTAGGTACAAGGTGGTATTACGTCCAGTACATTAATATTGTGTGACCATCACAAGTGATGTTTCTATCTTCCAGACATCAGCAGGCGTTACTTTTGCGATCAGAAAAAAAAAATATATGTTTTAAAGGCGACAATGAGCCTCTATCAGCTGTCTCTGCTCACACAAAGGCAGTGAGCACAGCTAGGACGCCGCTGGGGATGGGGAGGGGATCTGGGCAGTAGATGAGTGCGTGGCCCAGATGACCTTTATCCTGCCCAGTCCTGAAACCCAGGATTCTGATCGCTCCCGGAGGAGCGATCAATGTGCTTTGGAGATTCCAAGATTTGGGTTCAGATCCTCTGTCTGCTGCTGACTTGCTCAGGAACCTTGGGTCTGAGCCTGCTTCCTCAAGTGATGCAGAAGCCGTAGGGGAATGAGTGGCGGGTAACTGCACGCAGGCCCCCTGCACCCAGCAGCCTCTCCACCATTACTTTTCCTTCCTCCTTCTTGGAATGTCTCTCTGGCACCCGGACGTGATGAACAGAGGTAAGCCCTGCTTATCCTTCAAAGCCCAATTTGATATCATCTTCTCCACGAAGCCTCTCTGATTCCCACGGCAGGGGGTACCCCTCTGCTGGCTCTCACGGCCTCTGCCCCGGGAGGTACCTGGCTCCCTTCCCAGTGGGACTCTGTGATCCCCGAGCACGACCAGCTGCGTCTGAGTCATGCTGCCTTCCCTAGGGGCCCAGCAGACTTGATGAAGCTTTGCTAAATGAAGCCATCAAGGCAGAAGTGTCCCAAGCAGGCACACTGCCCACACCTCCTCAGTGGCTTCACCCTCCCAGGCCCGTGGCCCAGGGGCTGGCAAAGGGGAGCAGAGCACACAGCTGGCTGGCCTGATGGGGCAGGTGTGTCCTCCCCCCCCCACCAGAGTTCTGTCTCTGCCAAGGGCCAGTCGGGGTCGCTGGGGAGCTGGAGACTGGCACAGATGAATGAATCCAGTACCACAAACCCTTCTGGATGTGCCCGGGGTGCCAGGCCCAACGGCCAGGCCCTATGCGGCCACTGGGGCTTCCTTGCCCTCAGCAAGCTCCCCATCTTAAGAAGAAAGGGGGTTCTTGTGGTGCCAGGAGGAGATTTTAACATTTTCAGACAAAGGACAGTTAGCTTCCTTTCTCTCTGGGAGGCCAGAGATAAACACCCAAGCTGTCCCACCCATCAGATCCTAATATTGCCCTGAAAACCCAGGAAGTGAGGGAGCCTGAGCACCCTGAGGCCATGGCTGGCCTTAGGTGTAGTACTTTGGGGTCGCTGATAGTGACCCTGGCCAGTGTCCCCAGTCCTAGCCCCCTGTGGGCCCACAGGAATAGGCCCCAGGCCCGCAGAGGCACAACCCTCCAGTGAGGGTGTTTGGGCAATGGCCAGCAAACCCTAGGGGGGCCAAAGGCACCCCCTCCCGCACTGGCCTTCTTATCCTGGGGTGCTGCCCACACCATCTGAACCGCCCCCTCTGTGCTCACTGTCTCTGTCCCATCCTCCTTCCCCAGAGCCCCAGGTCTGAGCAGGGACCCCCCTACTGCTGGGGGATTCTGACCCGCACCAGGTTGAGTTCCAGAACAGGCCTCTCTGCCAAACCCCCTCCCCCAACAAGCATTCAGGTGTACTTGGTGGGGCGGTCATGGATTCAGGAAATATCAGAGCCCAAGGTGGCTCCTCCCACCTCTCTACAAATCGGGAAACTGAGGCATGAGAGAAGAGTTGCCTCTCCCCACCTCAGAATGTAACTCCTCGTTTCCCATAAACATTCCTTGGGTGGTTCCCGGCCCAAGGTCACGCCGCGAAGGAAAGGCACTGCCCGGGTGGAAGCCAGGTCCCCGGCTCCCAGCACATCGCTCCATACCTTCCGGGCTAAGCCATCAAACCTGGTTTCCGGCCCTCTCCTCCTTGAACGTCCACGGCAGACGTGGCGTGCACCCGGGAGTTGATCTACGCCCTGATCCACCCCCGCAAAAAAGGCCACCTGAGACCCGGGCTCAATCCCCACCGCCGCTGATCCGCTCGGCGGCAGCGCGCAACCGGAGCCGCGAGCTGCATAGCCGCGGCCTGGAGGTCACGGCGATGGGGGGCCGCACGCTAACGGGGACGCCGGGAAGCAAGGGCGCCGGCATCAGGAGCGGGAGCCCCTCGCCAGCGCTGGGACCCCCGCCTGGGGCCCGGGAAGGAGGGGGCGGGGTGGCGGCCGCCAGCACCCTGTCCGGAAGGCTCCCCGCCGGTTGCGGCACCTTTGCCCGGGGTTCGGCGGGGTTGGGGTCCGTCCGGGCGCGCTGCCCCTGCCCGCGCCCCCTCGACACGCCACCCCCGGCGCGGCCGGGCCACCCAGCCGTCCTTACCCAAGACACGACGCGCAGAATAGTGTGCGGCTGCCGGACCAGGGTGTGGGGGTCGAAGGCGCCCCCGGCTTTGCCCGCTCCGTACGCACCCCCTTCCATCGTGGCTGCACCCGCGCGGTGCCCCCCGCTCGGCGCGCGCCGCCGGCCCTGCGCGTGCGCGGCGCCCCCGCCCCCTCCCCTGCTCGCGCGGCCGGTGTGGTCGAGGGCTCCCGCCAGGGGGCGTCGTGCGCGGACCGCGCCGGGGCGCAGGCGGGCGGCGGGCCGCGCGCGCTCGTTCTCGGGGGCGCGCGTGCTGCGGACCGGGTGGAGGGCGCACTCGTAGCTGGCGTGGTGACCTCTGCGGAGCGGGGCCCGGGCGGGTGCCGCAAATACGGGACGTCCCCGCCCCCGGGCGGCCGCTCTCCCCGGCCGCGCTGTCCCCATCACAGCCCCGCGGTGCCTGAGGCTCTGGCTGAAACCGTCTGCGTGATTTGTTTTCTGTCGCTGTCTGTCCCCCAACCTAGTAGGGCAGGGGCCGCCGTTTGTCTTCCTACAGAGTAGATGCCACAGGAAGATTTCTCGAATGACTGAATGGACCACGAATGAATAACCCCTCTCTCCGAGCCCTCCGAAGCATCCACCTCCCCAAGGACCTTTCAGTTTCCACCTTGCTTTTAGGTTGACATCACGCCGTGGGCCACTGTGTCTGCGTATCCCCTACCCCACGTCTGGAGGGGCCCAAGACATCTGGTACAGAGGAGGAGGCTGAGGAAAAGCAAAAAAAAAAAAAAAAAATTAATGAATGTGTCCTCCCCCTCCCCACTACCCTTTTCCTTAATTCAGTAATTAATTACGTCATTATTTGTTCATTGTTTGCTTCTGTTAGTCTGTGGAGCCAATGGCCAGGCACACAGGAGGTGCACAATAAATACACCCTACTCTCCAGAACCGCATTACAATTTGGGCGAGGCCACCAGGTTTCATGGGAACAGGTAGGCTGGAGGAGTGCTAGCTGCAGTGGGAGAACACCTTCCAGGTCTGGCCCTTGAGATGACCTGCAGTCCTTAGGGCCTCTCTCCATGGCCCAGGTACCTCCATTGGTTCCAGGATCAGGTTGGACAAGGATATGCTTTGCTGCTGTGTTGTCATTCTGTGACGAAAGGACACAGGTCTGTGCAGAGGAAATGTGTGGTGGGTGTGAGGTCATGTCTTAGAAATATCACCTCGAAGGGGCACCTGGGTGGCTCAGTGGGTTAAGCCTCTGCCTTCAGCTCAGGTCATGATCTGAGGGTCCTGGGATCAAGCCCCACATCGGGCTCTCTGCTCACTGGGGAGTCTACTTCCCCCTCTTTCTCTGCCTGCCTCTACTTGTGATCTCTGTCTGTCAAATAAATAAATAAAATCTTAAAAAAAAATATCACCTCGGCAAATGTCCACTGTAGGCTCTGTTTACCGAGGGTTCATTCTGTGCCTGGCCCTGTGCTAAGTCCTTTACATATATTATCCCCATTTAATACAACAACCTCATAGTAGCTGCTATGATTATATCAAACTTCTAGAAGAAAACACAAGAGAAATTTTTGTGACCTTGGGTTGGGCAAGGAATTCTCAGATATAACGCCAAGACCATGATCCCTAAGAGAAAACAATCCATCAATTGAAGTTCGTCAAAACTCTTCAAAAGTCACTGTTACAGAAATGAACGAAGGCAAACCACAATGTGGGAGAAAAATCTTTACAAAACATACATCTGATAAAGAATTTGCCTTCCAGGGGCGCCTGGGTGGCTCAGTGGGTTAAAGCCTCTGCCTTCGGCTCAGGTCATGATCCCAGAGTTCTGGGATGGAGCCCTACATCGGGCTCTCTGCTCAGCAGGGAGCCTGCTTCCCTTCCTCTCTCTCTGCCTGCCTCTCTGCCTACTTGTGATCTCTGTCAAATAAATAAATAAAATCGTAAAAAAAAAAAAAAACCCAAACCCTTTGTTAAAAAAGAAAAAAAAAGAAAAAGAATTTGCCTTCCAGGTGCCCCTGGCTGGCACAGAAGGTTGAGTGTCAGACTCTTGGTTTTGACTCAGATCATGACCATGAAGTCAAGTTCCGAGTTGGGCTCTGAGCTCAGGGAGGAGTCCGCTGAAGTTTCTCTCTTCCTCTCCCTCTGCCTCGTCCCTTGCTTGCGTGCTCTCAACGACCCCCTCTAAAATAAATAAATACATCTTAAAAAAAAAAAAAGACTTTGCATCCCCAATATATAAAGAACTCTACAAAGTCAATAATAAGAAAATAACCTGGTTTTTAGAAAATGGGTGAAAGACTTGAACAGATATATTTCACCAAAAAAGATACACAGACGGCACCTAAGCCCGTGAAAAGATGCTCAACATCACTAGTCCCTAGGGAAATGCAAATGCGAATCAGGATGAGACACTTCCACATACCTATGAAAATGGTTAAAAATTTTAATTTGGAGGTGCCTGGGTGGCTCAGTGGGTTAAGCCGCTGCCTTCGGCTCAGGTCATGATCTCAGGGTCCTGGGATCGAGCCCCGCATTGGGCTCTCTGCTCAGCGGGGAGCCTGCTTCCTCCTCTCTCTCTCTCTCTCTCTGCCTGCCTCTCTGCCTGCTTGTGATCTCTCTCTGTCAAATAAATAAAATCTTTAAAAAAAATTTTAATTTAACGATATCAAATGTTCGAGAGGATTTAGAACAACTGGAGCTCTTGCCCCTTGCTGGTGAAATTACAAAACAGTCCAGCCACTTAGGAAAACAGGTTAGCAGCTTCGGATAAAGGTAGCTTATAAATTTACAATATGACCCTGCAAGGTCCCTCCTGGGTATTTGCCCTAGAGAAATTAAAAGTTATGTTCACACAAAACCCTGCTCAAGAATGTTTATAGCAGCTTTATTTGTAATAGTCCAAACTTGGAAATAACCCAAATGTCCCTCAACTGGAGAATGCAGAAACAAATTGTGGGACCCTTTGTGCAATGGGTTACTACCCAGGAATGAAAAGGAACGAACAATGGATACGCTCCACGTGTGTTGTATTAAGTAAAGCATGTGTTGTATTAAGTAAAAGAGGCCAGGCTCAAAAGACTACAGACGGCTTGATTCCTTTTAGTGTCCTTCCAAAAACAGAACTATAGGGACGGAAAACAGATACAGCGGTTGCTAGGGACTGAGAGTGTGGCTGGAGGGCACGTTGGAGGATTTACTAGTGAGGAGCATGGGAAAATTTGGGGGATGATGGAATCCTTTTCTCTCTTGTTTGTGGTGACAGTTATAAAATTGACAATATATGTTTGTCCATAAAAAGGGTGATTTTCGGGGTGCCCGGGTGGCTCAGAGGGTTAAGCCACTGCATTCGGCTCAGGTGATGATCTCAGGGTCCTGGGATCGAGCCCCACATCAGGCTCTCCGCTCGGTGGGGAGCCTGCTTCTCTCTCTCTCTCTGCCTGCCTCTCTGCCTACTTGCGATCTCTATCTCTGTCAAATAAATGAATAAAAGCTTTAAAAAAAAGGGTGATTTTCACTGTATGTTAATTATACACTTTTTTAAAAAATGGGAAATAAATCTGTGTGAGTATGAAGGACTGAATAAGTAAATATACATTCACATATTCATTCAATAAATCTTTACTTAAAAAATTTTTTTTTTTTCTAAGATTTTTTTTTTTATTTATTTATTTGACAGAGAGAGATCACAAGCAGGCAGAGAGGCAGGCAGAGAGAGAGGAGGAAGCAGGCTCACTGCTGAGCAGAGAGCCCGATGCGGGGCTCGATCCCAGGACCCTGAGATCATGACCCGAGCCGAAGGCAGCGGCTTAACCCACTGAGCCACCCAGGCGCCCCACTTAAAAAAATTTTTTAAAGATTTTATTTATTTATTCCACAGACAGAGATCACAAGTAGGCAGGGCAGCAGGCAGAGAGAGAAGGGGAAGCAGGCTCCCCATTGAGCAGAGACCCCGATGCAGGGCTCGATCCCAAGACCTTGAGATAATGACCTGAGCTGAAGGCAAATGCTTTAACCCACTGAGCCACCCAGGTGCCCCTAAAAATTTTTTAAAGATTTTATTTATTTATTAGGAAGAGAGAGAGAGAGTGCAAAAGAGAGCATGAGCAGGGTGGGGAGGGGCTGGGGGAGAGGGAGAAGCAGGGACCCCTCAATAAATCTTTATTTGAAACCCACCTTACCTAAGACTTTGTGCTAGACATGGGGGCATAAGGGGTAAAGAATTTAGAGAATGTTCTAACCTTTCCCCCATTAAGATTTGATCACACCGATGAATTTAAATCTCAGAAAAGGTGTTGTTTAGGAATCTGAGCTGTAGACGGAGGTATCCTTGCGTGAAAGTCCTGGTTCCCTCTGCAAATGGCTTCACCTCTTTGGGACTGTTTCCTCATATGATAAATGGAAATAAGCATAGTACTTTATTATAAATAAACCTGAGGCGGTGCCTGGGTGTCTCAGTCCCTTAAGTGTCTGCTTTTGGTTTGGGTCATGATCTCTGGGTCCTGAGATTGAACCCCCCTCCCCATGCCTCCCCCAAATCAGCCTCCTCCTGGGATCCTGCTTCTCCTTCTTCCTCTGCCCCTCCACCTGCTCTTGCTCTCTCCCTCCTTCTCTCTCTCTCCCAAATAAATAAATTAATGAATTCTTAAAAAAAAAAAAAACAAAACAAACACACAACCCTGAGGATTATTGTCAGGATTAAATGAGAGAATGCACAAAATGGACTTAGAATAGTGCTTGATACAAACAATGAGCTTAGTAAACATTGTTGGCCTTCCCATCCCGGTTGGTTTTTAAGGTAGGTTTCTTAGCAGCACGAAGTTATAAATGATGGGTAGGTTTCCAGGGTCCCCCAAGAACCTCTACTTAATATCTAGCATGGCAGGTGTGTAGAAACGTCCTCCTCTCCTACTGTTTGTGTTTATGTGTTCCCTGTTAATGGCAGGGCCAAAGGAGGAAGTCAGACTGTTCTTTGTAGGTCAAGATTTTGCAAACCCAGAGCTGCCTGATTTTGCCCCGTTCTGCACGGTAATTTTGAGCTCCGGTCCCGGCTGAGCTGTGACTCGCCATTGCTCACTCTCTCCTGCCCCCTTGAGGCTGCTTTGGTATGGAAGGCGTTAGGTCTGCTTTCTGCGAGGGCATGGGGTTGCCTGGGTGGAGGGGCAAATGTTTTCATTGGATTTGAG